CAAAAAATAATAATAATTATTATTATTATTATTATTATTATTTTGGAATAAAAATGTTAAATAAAATAATTACAATAATAATATTTATTATTATTATAATTATTATAAATGATATTTGTAACTTATATAATATTTTAATATCTGATTTTACTAGTGTTTTTGACAACAATAATATTTTATATTTGAATTAAAAAAATAAAAAATATTATTATAATATATTTTAAATGCAAAAAATTATATTTAGTATTATTAGTATTATTTGTTTTATGGTTTTTGTTGTTAATAATAATAATAATAATAAGTATATACCTTAGTAATTATTAGTAATTGGAAATTATTGTTATTATTATATAAAATTTATTTTTTTATATAACATTTTTTTATTTTATTATATAAAAAGTAACAAAAAATATTATTATTGCTGTTAATAATAATACTCATTAATAATAATGAATAGTAATTAGTAACTGTGTTTTTAAATAAAAAGTAAAATAATTGATTTATTATTATTATTATTATTATTATTATTCTATCAGCCATCTTATCCATTACAATGGGCCACAATGAGACATAATCAGTTATTATTATCATCATCCAGATGTCTGTATCGCTACATCCCAAGTTTTGAGTATAAAAGCGTGTGCTGAATGAAGTAATCTCTCCTTAAAAGCGGCAAAATTCTCCGCTAAACTCTCCTGGCAAACAGTCAAATGTTATCTTGAAGCCGCGGAACGGATGATGCAATTCATCGGCACACCTGTATCATGTCATCTCTCTGGATGCTTGTATCATGTTTAATGCGATGTCAAGAGCGCAGGCCTGAGTTTGAGCTTCACACGGCTCCGGCTGTGCCTGATGGCTCCTGGTTTGACATGCAGGTATCAAGCTGTCAGCATGTAGCTGAGCTGTTTTCCTCCTCTGCTGCTGCTGTCTGTCTCCCGAGTCAAACTCTGACATTTCTCTCTCTTTCTCTCTCTCTGGCAGGTTTTGAACAGTTGTAGTCTTGACGTTTTGACGGATGGAAACTTTTCTTGAAAAACTAACACACGAAAAAAAGACTAAACAAAAAAAACGACACAAAAAACACATGAAGAAGCAAACAAAGCAGCAAAACAAGCGCATAAGGGAGTTTCGTGAAGCATATCGCATTTAACGAAAGTGTGTGTTTCGACGGCGATGAAAGACTGGCGTGACGGGGGACGACAGCGACGGCGGAGACGAGGACGAAAACAAATAAACTGAAAATTTTTTCTCTTTTGAAAAACGCTATATACCGAACACTTTGGAAGAACAGTGCATGGCTGGGACTGGTAGAGTTCGCTAAAGCAAAAGACGGATCCATGCACATATCAAAAGACAGCCGTAGCTTTTACTCGCGTGGAATAATGAGGGTTTAACGATAAAATGTGTATATGCCACTGACGCAGTATAACGAACTCTCTTTCTCTCACCTGTAGGGACCAGAGGACCAAATCTTTTTCATCTCTGTCGGTACCGTAACCGTGTACAATATTACCACCGAACGATTATCTTACGCTACATACATGCTACTTCGTATAATATGCCAATTAAGAGTTAGACACAATTAATTCAGGGTGTATAGTGTAGGTTTATGGGGACTTGGGGTGTGTTTTATTGAAAACCTTTGGCGAAAAACTAGTTTGCAGGTTATGGGCGCAAAACAGTCTAAAGGATATTGATAGATTATCTTTAGTGGGGTATTTTAGGCTCTTGTTATAGACTATGAAGTGTGTTGATATTGATTTGGGCACATTCGGAATTGCTGTTCATCGCCACTTCTCATTTCAGAAAGCTGCCGGGTGGAGAAAAGGGCATTTGATCCATCGCGATATCATTTAATTCATGCATCATACTGTAAACAAATGACCACAGCAAACACATAACCACACATGGATATTTTTGCCAAAACAGCTCTTGTTTTTGAGCTACACAGATTCACAAGGAAACATGCACCACCAAAACTCCCAGTGGCTGTTTTTAACGTTGAAACTGAGGATTTCATAAAGTCTCATTTATCTTTGGTTTATAGACTTGTTTTTTGTTTTTTTTAATTGGTCAGCTTACCAAGTATTTAATTAAATTTTATTTGTTAATAAAATAACAGTACACATTACTGACAGATATATCTGTATTTTATTTAATGTAATTTTATTTTATTATTTTAATAAAATAAAAGTACACAGCAATTCTTACATTAACATCACTGACAATTTATCTGTTTTTATTTTATTTATTTTATTTGATTTAGTTTAATTTAATTTTGTCAGCTTACCAAGTACAAGGCAGGGCTTACATTAAAATTACTCTTAATTTATTGTTGTTGTTTTTTTTTTCATTTATTTACTTTTTATTTATTTTATTTTTTTTATCAAATAAAAATACGCTGCCTGTCATACATTAACATTACTGACAATTTATCTTTATTTATTTTATTTTATTCAGTTTAGTTTTATTTAATTTCATTTGTCAGATGACCAAGTACACAGCATGACGTACATTAAAATTACTCTCATTTGATTGATTTATTTATTCATTCATTCATTCATTTATTCTTTTTTTAATAGAACAAATAATACACAGCAAGTCTTATTGTCATTTCATCTGTTTTTTTATCACATTGTATCTTGTATATTAGCTTGCTGACTGCTAATGTGTATGTTGCATAAAGTATGTTAGTTTGAAATAGTGCTGAATACCCAGCGATTAAACTAATGCTATTCATACAGCACTACTATTTAATTGAATTGTAGCTCCAGCTACTTCTGTACTGTGTTCCCCAAACACGAGAACATCTGACGATAACAGAGGCTTTACCGAATCCTCCGAAATGAGGTTAAAAACAGCCACAGAAAGAAGTTTTGCAGCTTCACGCTGCAGTGACGTTTCCATTGTGAGAACAGGCTGTTTTGCGATAGAATTCAGGAAAACCTTTCATTTAGAAGCAGCCTAAAACGTGCCATAGTAACGCTTTGAATTTGTTTCAGTGGCTTACACTGATATGCTGTTTGCCAGAAGGGCCTTCTAGAACATTTATATTAGACAAATCAAACCATAAAACACAGCACACAGAGAGATCAGCAGTCTCTGAACATTTCTAAAGCGTTGAGAGACACTTTTAAAGACAGTAGTTCTCCTCTATTCATGCTTTATTCAGGTATTTCACGTGTGATTACACTTAAATGAACTTCGTAATTGCTCAGTTACATTGTATTGTGCATGCCTATGTAAATGTAGTACTTATGTAGAGCCAGGCCACAGTTACGGCCTAAACGACTGAGAAAAAGAAGAGAAGTGATGTAAAGGAACAAAAATGTATGAAAAAATAGTGTTTAGAGGTGAAAACGTACAGAAACAAACCAGCGAGGCCACATCACCACTGCAAAACATGGTAACATTCGTTTTAAAGTCAACATGAAATCAAAATTGAACCTGTTTGCTTTCTGAATACACGTTTCTAGTCTTATTTTGAACGACTCTGCAGTGCACATAATTGCAAATGATTAAATGATTACTAAGAGATACGGCACATTACGGAAGTAAAATGGGTCGCAAATGCCGTTCCATGTTAACTTTGACATCATGCTTAGCTGTTTTAGACCCACAGAAACGTAAACGTTTTGGACCAAACCTGTTATGTTGATAGCAGGATTTTTTCATGCACAGCCTTGCCATGATCAGTCGACCGTGCAAATGTGCCACGTGCCACAACAGCACAATTTCCTCCAATCAAAACAAGCGATACTTTCTCTGTGCCGTCGTCCCATTAATATTTTGTCAGGAAACGAGAAACGCTGCCTCTCTTCTAGTAGTTTACGTTCTTGAAGCTAATATGACTGGACAGCACATTTCACTCTGGATCTTGAAAAGTGGTCAGTCTCTCGCTTAATATTCAGGGGACAAAGTGGATCTTAAGTGCTTTACAGGTCAAACAAAGTACATGATTTAATATTAAGGCAGAAATTAGCAAAGTTTTGATGGGTGGATCGCCGTATGGTTAATGTGGCTGATGTGTCAACACAAAACATGAATCAGTTATCAGTTATCAGACAGGTTTCCCTTTAGAAATAGGCGAGTTTCCTGAAAACGTATTCAACAGGACAATAAAAATAAATAAGTAAATATGTTTAAAATATTTTTAAATGTATTTATTTATACTATACATATATATGATACAATAAATAATTTTTTTTTTAATTCTTAAAAATTCTTAAATATAATTTAAGAATTTTTTTTAGAATATTGTATCATATGTATAGCATAAATAAATACATTCAAAAAATTATTTAAAAAATTCACACACACACACACACACACATATATATATATATATGATATGATATGTTAACAGCAATGTTGAGGACCAATGTGATATTTTGAAATTAAGCACATTTTCCAGTCAAGCAAATTCTCATTACTGTAATGCAAAATCCATTATTATGAGTCATCATTATATTATTGTTAAGTTTTGTAATTGACATTATTCTCAGTTGTTATTTGCTTCTCATTACTGTAATAATATCCAAAATAAAAAGCGGAAATACGATAATAAATATAACGATAATCAGATAATAAATTAACCACAAATGCTATAATGGTGTGTGAGTACTTACCTTTAATTTTTTCCTATAATGAGCATGAGATTTTTATTTCATTATGTTAATGAGAATTTGGTACAAAAATGTCCTTAATTGTCTTAAAATAATGTCGCAAAAAAAAAAATCGTAATGGTCTTAAAATAGACTTTTCTTTTTCATCCCTAATACGGAGTGGATCATTAAAACTAGTTGGAGTCCAGCAGGGTCCATAAACACACACACACACACACATATATACGGCTAATAGTTGCACAAACATTCCAGTTCTTATCGCTCAAGCGGGACGTCTGCCATCTGTCTGTCTGAGCTCAAATTAGTGATCAGGGACAGAGCAGCTTTTCAATTAAACACCGATCAGATGATCACAGCGGAAGGTCACTATAATCAACATTCAAGGGCACAATTCTGTTCACTTTGACATCTTCCATTCATTCTGTTTTTTAATTTTGTAAAACTGACCGTAATGGTCTTAAAATAGACTTTTATTTTTCATCCCTAATACGGAGTGGATCATTAAAACTAGTTGGAGTCCAGCAGGGTCCATAAACACACACACACACACATATATACGGCTAATAGTTGCACAAACATTCCAGTTCTTATCGCTCAAGCGGGACGTCTGCCATCTGTCTGTCTGAGCTCAAATTAGTGATCAGGGACAGAGCAGCTTTTCAATTAAACACCGATCAGATGATCACAGCGGAAGGTCACTATAATCAACATTCAAGGGCACAATTCTGTTCACTTTGACATCTTCCATTCATTCTGTTTTTTAATTTTGTAAAACTGACCTGGTAACTGTTAAGTGACGTCATCATTCTAAGACGGGACCCAGCGAGATCATAGGTGTGTTTGGAAAAGCACACTAACATACTCCTCATACTATTTTTGCAGTATGCATACTGTGCTACGTTTATCAAATACACAGTATGCAAAGCAATACCCTAGCAAACGCATAGCAATGAATTAAAATCAGTATTATACACTGTAAAAAATGCATTTTCGAAGTTGTAAATAACAACTAAGATTATTATTAACTATTTTTTATTATTGGAGCATGTTTTAAAAGATAATACCATTTCATTTTTCTACTTCAATATTTCATGTTTAATTCAATGTGTTACTTGCCGTTTCTTTTTGTGAAATTGACTGTCTACATCTAATTTCTTTAGTGTCGTTAACTAAAACTAAAACCATAAAAACATTTTTGTTACTTTAAATAAAGTAAATATTAGCTGAATAAAATAAAATACACAATAAAAGTGATAAACACACAAGAAAATTACTAAATTAGTTAAAATTAAAATGAAACCATATAAAACACTATGCAAAAAATAAAAACTAATTCATATACGTATATATAATCTCAATTATACAAAAACAACACTGATTCACACAGAACACCTTAGCAACCACATAGCAACACCCTAGATACCATTGCAGAACATTTTGCATTGGTACCACATTTTCATAATTAAATATACTACTAGCCTATTTTTACAAATGCGCTGGAAAATAAATGGTGTTTTCACTGCTAGTAAATTTTCACAAATAATTACAAAGAAACGGCAAGTAGCACAATAAATAAATTTTGAAGTAGAAAAACTGAAAAAAGTATTTTCTTGTAAAACATACTTCAGTTATTTTTATTTACAATTTTGAAAAATCATTTTTTTACAGTGTGTTTGAAACTTATTGCATACTGCATGACAGACTGACATTTCAAACAAAAAACAGTATGAAGTATGCAGTGTGCATTAAGCAGTGTATACTAGTATTCCGTTCCAAACAACAGAACATTCCTAGTGGTGCAGCAGCTGATCCATGCACATGGCACATGAAATTATTTTGTCCGGATATTTCTAAACCTGTGGCTCATACTAACATACATGCTGTACAAACATGAATTCTCATGCTCTATTTCAATTTTTATTCTATTTATTGCCAAAAAAAAAAAGAGAAAACTAGTTCTTCTTTCATAGCTTGCCCTGCCTATAGTTCTTTAAATCACTCTTTGTGCATGCTATAAATTGC